TTCCCGGGTAACCTCCATGTAAGATGAAGGACTAGCATCAACTGGCAGCATTTGCCCAATCAAGGTGGAGGCAGTGGTTACTGGCTCGATCGGGTACCTAGGACGTTTGACCCCGTCCAAACGGCATATGATCCGATGAACTGGAGACCGGCACCCTATGGATTGCGATGTTCACACACCGCCCCGCTGCCTTGCGGGTCAGGCTTTGGCTAGCCGAAGGCTCCTGTAGTGGATTGCTCAAATAATTCACTTGCCTTGGTTTGGGCAACCTGGTAGTATTCGGCCCACATGCAAANTTATTGTACCGTGATCTGTTTGGCACACAGTATAGCTTCAGACGTGATAAATATATATATATATATATATATATATCCCCAATTTCCGAGAAGCATGCGACCGGTTTTGTAGTCCTTTGTCATTCTTAGGCTTCCTAGTCCTAATGTGAATCAAGCAGCGCAAACATCATTCGCATTTCGGGGAGTCGATTCGAGATGAGCCAACATGGAATAAACATTGCCATGATTCCGTGTTACTTTCTGTGGGTTAGATGCGTTCAATCTCAACAAACCAGAAACCAAGGCAGATTTGCAGTATTTTTATAATAACTATCTCCATTCATTTCTGTCTGCTCAGTGAACTGCCGATCATTGAAGACGATAACTGAAGTAGTTGGAATTGATGGTTCTGATCGACCTCTGTATAAGCTGGTTAGCACAAATGCAACACGCCNCCAGGAAGGGATGATGGATGTGCATCAATGGGGAGAACTTGTGAGATTCATGTCCGGCACTTCCGAATATGGTTGACTAGAAAAACTGATGATGGTGCATAAAGCATATCCTATTTGGACTTGAGTGTGTGGACATGAAATCTCAAAAATAACCCGCCAATATCAATAAAAATGCGAACGAAAGATTCGCGATACAACATTTAACTTTGGAAGATTTTCTCTTCAACTGAATGCAGTCATCGAAAATATCGTGCAGAAGGAAAAAAGTAGGCGTGAGGAAAGTTTTCTGAAAACTACTCAATTTAACTGACGTGATATGACGACTGAACCTGGCCGACTGAGACGGTTCGCGATCTTAACGTAGTCAAAAAAAAATTTATTCATTTGGGTGTTTTAGGTTTTTACCGCAGTCGAAATGAAAAATAAAATCAAACAGTACTACAGATAGTCAGAGTCTGCCACCCGGAAGTAAACGATACCACTATCCTTGCACGAGGATAGGGCTGTCTCAAGAATTAAATCTATGACAAAGTTAAATAGAAACGGAGTGTGGATGAGCAGATAAACAGCAGCATTTATAAAACATTAACTTACATGTCCCCGAAACTCCGGGTGTGAATGACGGTATGGTACGAAAGACCGTCTGAAATTTAAGTGTAGAAACCAACTTACCAAATGCACAGTAGCACGATGCTTATTTCGCAATGAAATCACTTGTGTGTTAAGCACAGAAAACCGGTCGATGGAGCAACTACTGAGGTAGATCGTTGTCAATGAACGAGGGAGACGAGTAACCGATTTTGACGACGAATGAGTGACTGGTAAAAAGGGATTGGTGCAAGCGCATCTGCGTGCCGATGCACCAGTAAGCCCGAACCCCCAAAATTAACGATAGCTTACAAAGTCCAAGTAGAAAACTCGGCTAAACCATTGGTGCGGTCGAACAACCCTACGGTTCATAATGTTGATCTTATATACTGATTGTATCTGCGGTGATATATTAATACTACTGAGATTTTGACTTGAGGCTTTCAAAACATCGGAGATACTAATGTTTTGGTATATCTGTTCGCGTAGTTGAATCACAAAGTCAATTGGCTTAATGTGGTTAAGTCCTGATCCTGTCTCATTCCATTGGGGGTGGTGGATAACTGTAAGCCGAAAGTGGGGTCGGCAGCGTTGGCGACCATATTGAAAAGTGCTCAAGCGACACAGCAACACGAAAAAGTGATGTAAATGATATCTCTAAAGATATCAATTCTTTCGAAAGCGAATGAACCTCCGCGCGTATAACCACTATCTCCGATGTTAACTATCGGAGTTGAAAAATCCTGCACTAAGGGGATACAGTAATTTATTCCTCACTTCTGTTCATGGCTGTATGAGAAGACAAACTGATTTCGCCTAACGGATATTCATGAAGATACAAGTATCGTGTACAACCACTCGTTGGTCAATGTTACTCTAAAGTGGAATAGTAGTGGTAAGAATTTGACGAGTCCCCCCCCCCCCTTTGAATCCAACTTCATCGATAAAGGGAATTGGTGCTGCTAGTGGTTAAATTTCGGTTGTCTTTGCACCGACCCGGATAGACTATCGTCGAAGCCCGTTACTGTCGTCTAATTTCTCCCCGAATGTGCCCTCGTAGAATAACATACTCAGCATGTTAGACCATAATAATCCTTGTATCACTGCGTGTCATACTACAGAGCACAGCAGAAACATCTAGATTAGTTCGAAATGAATATGCTACTGAAAGCAAGAAAATGAAACCTACTCGGATTTTCATAGTAAGATGAATGGAACCTTCACAGTCTTGTCCTTGCTTTCCACTCAACTGGAACCAAGTGTCCAGTGATTCACCTCCATGTAACGACTGAGGTAAAGGAATAGTGGTCCACGCGATCTTGGAATCACTCATGAGCAACCCCTCATCCATGAGGACAACCGACAATAAGTTACTATCTCCACGCATCGGTCTATAATGTTTAAAAAAGTGAAAACACTTATCAGATACTTGATGAAACTTGACAAAAATCAAGATTTAGTCTTCTAAAAATTGTGTAGCATAACCCAGTAATAGCTTTTGATCTCTAGAAGAATATTAAACAGTTACAAAAAATAAACAGAGAAATGCATGACTGGTGAGCCTCCAGAGTCGAGCACTCGTCTGTTACTAGCATGGAGATTTTGTCCAATCATAGCCACTATCCATTTCATCAACACAAGAAGACATTTGTGGGCAGAACTGATATTGGGTATCAATTTCACGTGCTATCGTTCAGCAGTAAACGCGCATTTTAGTGATCATGTCAACCAAAGAAATATAGGATTTGAAATGAGTCGTTTGAACAAGGTAGTGGAAAAGTGAGTTGTGTTCACCAACTTGCTCAAATAACTCATTTCGACTCCTGTGTTTCCTCGTTTGACATGATCACTAGAATGTGCGTTTACAGTTGAATGAGAGCATGCGAAATTGATGCCTAATAGCAATTCTGCCCACATATGTTTTCTTGTGTTGATGAAATGGATTCAGGG